CAAAAACGTGGCCTGCTTTGAGAGCACAACTTCTTGGAATACCCATGCGCGAGAAAACCATGTGCTTTTGAGGAGTTGTAAGATCGCCGCAAACTCATTGACACAGAGCTCAAGGAGATGCCCCTCGACTTTTTCTCTGATGAGCTTGCGGTCCGAGGACACTCCCTTGAAATTGAAAGGGCGCGCTACCTCAATCAGAGCGAGTAACTTTTTGCTAGGGTTTGGACCCGTACCCAACCACGCTATGACTCTTTCGCCTTTCTTATATATGTCGCCCATCATCTTGACTTGATGATTGCGCTCCTGCGTACTAGACTGATTGATGTTGATCTGGTCGATCCACAGATATCCGGTCTTGCATTCCGCAGAGAGATATGGTATGGCTTGGGCGAGATTATCGTTGATACGTATCATCCGACTACCTCGAAGACGTAGTATGTTTTGGCGAGCATCCGAGCCCCAGACATACGAAACGGTTTCGAAAGGTGGTGCATCGGTTAATGTTGTATGTTCGATGTCGTACTGCCACTCGCTCGGTCCTATCTTCTCGACCTTGAATAGGCGTATTTCATCTTCTTCTTTGAGAGCTCCATAGGTGTAGACGGGTAGTGTAGAGTTATCCAGCTGGGCGCGGGCGCGGGCGCGGGCGTGGGCGCGGTCTGCTCTGGTGTTGCCTGCACGTGGGATGACTTTGCGACGTTTGGCGGGCGGCTCAGAATCCTCCATCTGCGAAGTCGTTCAAACCAAGATATGAAGGTCGTATGTCTGAGTGAAAGGGATATGAAGGAAAGGACTTAAATAGGAGCGAAGTGCGGCTGAGATATTACGAGGTTGACGGCACAGCCCCGCTGCACACTTGCTCACCGATCAGGCAGCTGCGCACCATCTTCCGCTCAGCCCCTCTCGTTACCTAGGTTATTCTGCTACCACGCAGTTTTGTGTGCGAGTGAGTGCGCGCCGTGAAAACGATATTGCGCAAAAACTGATCCGGCTGTCCCGCGCATAGTGGCACGTATCATTCATTGCGTCAGGCACGCGCAAGGTGTCCACAATCTGTCTTACAGCAACCACAACATTCCAGATCCATCGCTCACACAGTATGGCGAGCGCCAATGCCGCGAACTTGCAGCAACGTTTCCGTACCACGCCGAAGTTGAGCTCGTGGTCGCTTCACCCTTACGACGAACAATTCACACCGCGTTATTAGGATTCGAGCCAGAAGTGTCACGGGGTGTCCAGGTCCTGGCCTTGCCCTCGTTGCAAGAAGCGAGCAACCTGCCTTGCGACACTGGCAGCGATGTCGAAATTCTTCAGGAAGAGTTTGAGAACACCGTAGCGAACCTCGGCCTCTTAGAAGAGGGCTGGCAAGTGAAAGTAGGCAGATGGACCATCAAATCTTGATCCAGCATTCCAACAAGCATCAGCACAGGGCAGGCTTACCAAGTATGGCAGACTGACGCATCACTCACGAGTGCTTCACTTCTCGCTAGAGCCGAAAGTGCTCGGCAATGGCTTCGAGACAGACCGGAGAACAACATTGTTGTGGTCTCGCATGGCTGCTTCCTACACTTCCTGACTGATGACTGGAAGGGCTCGTTGAGCGCACAAGGTTTGCAGTCTCTTGATCGCTGCATCGTTTTGACAATTGCTGATCATCTATGACTAGCCACCGGATGGTCGAACGCGGAGTTTCGTTCATATGAGCTTTCGAGTGATGGTGGCAGCACCATACTAAGGGAGACAGCAGAATCAAAAGAGAGGAGAGGAGTTGCATCATGTGACCATGAGAGCGAAGAGGAGAGGCTGCTGGAGAGAAAGAAGACGATTGACACTTGGTTAACGTGGGGCATTGTCACTGGTTGAATCATGGGGTAAGGTAAGATTGTATGATATATCGAAAGAACAGCACGCATATCCGCTTCCGATACCGAAAACGTCTTCACACCTCCATCTGCCCTTGAACATCTTCCCACCACTTGCCAACCACTCCTGCCCTCTCACCGTCTCTCACCTTAATCTCGCAGGGGAACGGCAACGGGCCCCCGATAACATGCGGTGTCCATTGGTCCGGCCCAATCTCTATTCCGTCATTCTTCCCAAGATAGAAATTCTTGACCAAGTTCCCACAAAAGACCAACAGCTCCGCCTCCGCAAGATCCTGGCCAGGACACACTCTCTTGCCCCTCCCAAAGATATGATGGCCTTTCAAGCGTGGATGTTCGGTAAGTGGAGACTTAAAATTAGGAGACGAGGGGTCGAGCCAGCGGGAGGGGTCGTAGACGGAGGGAGGGGAAGAGGGGTAGGTGGTGGGGTTCTGAGACATGGCGATGTCGAGGACGTGGACGACGGCGCCGCGGGGGAAGTGGTAGCCGGAGTGGGTGTAGTTCTTCGAGAGTAGGCGAGGGACGCCTGAAGACTGGTCAGCTTCATGCTGTATGGAACCTGGGAAAGATCGAGGATTGAGTATAGGGGGGAAGAAGGAACTTACCGAGTGGAACAGTACTCTTCCACCTCACACATTCCTTGATAGCTGCCCTCAAGATCGGTAACTGGGGACTGTGCTTCAAGTCCACCATCTCATCCTTCCCAACTACCTCATCGATCTGCTGGCGTACTTTCTCTTGCCATTCCGGATGCAGAACCATAGCCATGACGAACAGCGTCGCCGGTCCGCCAATAGTATAGATCGCGACAGTGCAGAGCATACCAACTGCAGCTATGGCCTCTTCCTCATCAGCGAAAAGAAGGTCGGTATTGGAGCCAATAGCTTTGGTAGCCAAGCTTGCGGTCGTGTAAATTGTCTTATCTTTGGATGCTTTTGCCTGATCGAATGTGTCTTTCCACAGCGCTGCTTCCTTTTCTCGGCGTTCTCGCACTCCGCGCTGACCCGGCGCCATCCACTCAGGGAAGTATCTTAGGAACGGCATGAGATTAGGTATGGGCCCAGAAGGGCCAAGTTGGGAGATGAAGGCGCCGGCGTTGATCATGTGCTCTATCGAACGATCGGCGGTGCCATACGCGAGGCGAGAGCTGATTCTAGCGCAGAAGAGATGGGTGAGAGTGAAGAAGTCTTCTGGCTTTCGGGAGAGCTCGTGCATGAAGCGCTTCATCTCAAGCTGGATGTGACCGTAGTATTGGTTCTTAGCTGCGCGGGTCATCATTGCGTTTGCGAATCGTTTTTGACGGTGGAAGTGATCTGTAAGTCGGACGTCAGTGACAAACTCATATCAGAGTCTTGGTAATGGCAGACATACCTGTGTACCCGAGCAGAGGCAAGTACAAAAAGTCCTGTGTCACCCCTGGGAAAGACCCAATATCTGCCCTCGCCGAACTCAGCTCAGCATTCTTGACCATCAAGTCTTGCGCAACATCTTCTCTTGCGACCCAGATGTGCGTTTCGCCCCCAAGTGTACATGCGAACAGCCCGCCATACTGCTTGCTGAACTTGTGCATTGAGGTCCAAGCCTGCATGCGGTCGACATCGTGAACGCGACCTAAGTAAGGGAGTGTTGAGCGCGGGCCCGGGAGAGCTTTGAGACCGGAGCCAAACGGCGGAAGCTCGCATGTGAAATAGTGAAAGCAATGGTATGTAACAAAGAGAATCAGAAGTATGAGGAGGGTGCGAAGTACGGACTGGAAGACTTGATATCCAGAAGTAGGGAACAGAGAGGCTGTATGATCTATCGTAGCGTTAACGGACCGGAGGATGGTCGCTGCGTCTGGCAGCTGCATGTTCGGTGCAGAGTTGCCCATGTCGACCGTGGCTATATCTCGAACTTGGGGTTGGAAATCGCACCTTCCATTGCTGGCCGATGCAAATGTCCATATATACACTCAAAGCGACATAGTAAAGCCACTTCCACAGGTGTGGTCAGCAACCATCAGCCTAGTCTTTTTTTGGAATACGGTCACCGATCATGTGGCTGCTCACACATTTTCCCTCGCAACTCATCCATATTAGATATACTCAATTAGTTCGAGGGCCGATTCAGCTACGTAAAGAGTAGTGAATAGTGAGGACATTCGTACACTGCGAGAATAAAAGCAGCAAAGTAGGGAGGTCAGCTCAAATGACGTTCCACGCTCTCGGGTTGAGCATGCGCATAACATCCTCATCGGTCAGGGACGCATATCGGTTCCCGTAAAAGCTTGATACATGCGTGCTGCGACCGTGCATACTGTATAAGCACCGAAGATACATCTTCTTCCAATGTCGAACTTCCTGATTCACCGTATTACCAGGGCCCATGACGAATTAGGAAACATTTTCGCATGTGCTGTCATCATCTTCTACGCTGCTACCGGTTTTGATATCGGTCCAGTCGCCAGAGTCGCCATCAGTGGTGCCTTCCTCTTCCTGGAAGTCAGCCTACATGCCGTGTGCGATATGATTGGATGTGCTAGCGTTGCGTGGACCGAGTCTAGAGTCAAACTGATATCGTAGACGATTTTGCTTGGGTGGGATTACGCGCCGGAACTGCGAGATCGTTAGCGATGTCTGAAGTGATACTGCCATACCAGCCATTCGCAGCGCGTCCGTGAGAGTTTGTCCACACATGCCGCTGATCTTATATCAGTCTTGGCATGAGTTAGATAGCATGGCAGGTATCAGAAAGCTGTCGCGATCAGAGCATAGTATGGCGCTTCTATTTTCAACGTATCTTGGAGTGGGATGGAGGAAGGAGTGTGGATTTCACGCGTTTGGGGGGCTTGTGCTTGGCCTGAACCTCGGCACATGCAATGACCCTGAGCTAGGCCCGATTGGTCATCCCCCAAATCACGACAATTACGCGCAATTGCAACGCGCCCTCAACACCAACATTGTGAACTTTCTAGCATTCGAGAATTGTATATCACATGGAAAACCGCACACAAATGTGTGGCGTTCTTCGTCATGCTCCACTTACCCCACATCGGTTAGCGCTACTGTAAATCTCAAATCGTCCTGGTCGCGACTGGACTATTCAAGCTTGAGATAGGCCAGGTATATAGCCACCAGCATGCTTACGCTTCTTCTCTCAATTTTCATTGGCCTCATCGGGTTCTATCTCGGCTTCGTCTTGCTACTCACGATCCCGACTCTACAGGACCACGTCATCTTCCTGCACCGAGTGACCCGAACCTGGAATCAGGATATCAACGTACCCGAGCAATGGGGCTTTCTGCGCAACCAAGTCACACCCTTCCATCTCAAGACGCCGGACGGTGAGACTCTACACGCTTGGCACGTCCTGCCACTGGAGATATACCGCCAACATCAAACCCAACTCCGTGAGGAGCCAGTCGGACTCTGCGCGAAAGTCGAAGACCGAATCTCCTTCCGCTTACTGAAAGATCCTACTGCGCAAGTAGTGATTTATCTGCATGGCGCAGCAGGTACACTGGATTCTGGGTGGCGGCCCCAAAGTTACAGGGCGATGAGCGCGACATCGACCAACGTCCATGTCCTGGCTATCGACTATCGTGGTTTCGGTACCAGTTCTGGGTGGCCTTCGGAAGCTGGTCTTCTTACTGATGCGCTTACCTTGCTCAAGTTCGTAACGGATACTGCGGGTATACCACCAGAGAGGATTGTGGTCTTTGCCCAATCCATGGGTACTGCCGTAGCTTTGTCGCTCACTCATCACTTGGCTTCACAGCCGACCCCTGTTGTTCTAGCAGGAGTCGTCTTAGTCGCCCCATTCGCCGACGTGGAGTCGCTTACCAGGACGTACAAGGTTGCTCGCACCCTCCCGCTGCTCTCCCCTCTCGCAATATTTCCACCGCTTATGAACCTGCTGAACCGATTTATCATCACCAAATTTCCATCCAAGGAGAAACTTGCAGCACTCATTCACCGGCTGGACAGTATCAAAGTCAACGGCAAGCAGCGAAACTATGACATCACGTTAATACACGCCGAAGATGACTACGATATCCCATGGAGTCACTCAGATGTCCTCTTCTGGCACGCTGTTAACGCAATATTTGACTCGTCCTCTTCTATGACCTTCGAAGAGCTAGAAAAGGTGAAATTGAAAGAGAGGACGCCTCTCGGTGCTGGTGGTTGGGAAGTAGGATGGAAAGGGAAGCGTGGGATCATCAGAGAACAGATTATAAAGCATGGCTCTCACGATCGAATCATGAGTTATCCCATTGTCAGCCTGGCTATCTCGAGGGCACTCCATATGTAGGAGAAGAACCGATGGCCATCTGTAATGCATACCCCATCTGCAGCGACTGGGTCTCGCCGTGTCGGGCCAAGAGAAACACCAATCAGACGAACGCCTCACCGTTCCAACTCAGTTTGATCGTCTTCGCTTGATCTCGGTTCTCCATTCCTCGGAACACATCAAGGATCATAAGCGAGACACCTTCCTTGCGTGATGTACCGATCTTCAGCTTTCGCCCAACTGTGTGAAGTACCTCTTCCTCATTCGCCCGAAAAGAGCCTGTCCGGTCCTGTGCACTGATATAGACAATCTCTAGCTCGGGCAAGAACATGTCGATGTCGGTGTCTACCACGGAGCTCCACATACTTAACATAAGGTCCCATGAGGGATCTGCGCTGAAGTAATCCACGACGTTGACGGATATAGACGTGAGTAGCGCTCGCTGTGTACTAGTGAGACCGTTCACGAAAGCTCGACCAGATTGCATGTCGTCGAAGTGGAAGACGTTCTTTGTGTACTGGGTGAGAGCTGTTTCTCGGTGTAGCTGACGACATGCAAGACCGATGGTAAAAATACGAGAAACAGATGTCCAGGTACTCTTTTGGGCCACTCCAGGGGTCATGAGATCGACCAATGCTTTCTCCGGTCGCTGGAGCAAACCTGATACGAAGATGATGTTTCCGCCAACAACCAACTCGTAGATACGATTGCGCAGCTCCCCAGGAAGTCGAAGTAGAGGTGACTCGGTCTGGTTGCGAAAGGTGCTAAATCTTATTAGTATAATACAGGATTCGATTTTGGTGACTTACATCGACTCCAACGGGACCGTCATCGCGATTGCTTCAGGTGGCGTCATATCACACTTTTGTTATTAGATTGGGTTGGAATATTTAACTAGCAAAACAATATGGTTCGAAGCCCACGTGGTTGCGGAATATTATTGTGATACACGGCGGTGTTTGGTTACACATGTTTCTTTACTCAATGCTCAGATGTAGGCGTGCACTTGGTGGTAGGGGTCTTTCGCGCTAGCCTCGATACGTCATTTACTTGGCGGAAGGGGATCGCGTCCAGTCGCGCTCAAACCTCCATCTCCGCCTCCGCCAAACATGCCCACGCCGACCTCCACACACAACTCAGCTGGCACCTTCCATCTCTCTATACGTCTCTCGCGCCCATTCGTAGAACGGAACCGGCGGCTGAACCTCCTTGCGAGTCAAGTACTTCCACCAATTCGCCCAGACATGCTGTCGTATGTACCCCACACGATACGCGACATGCCATCCCGTTGGTAAATCGAACGTATACTGCAGTTCTTCCAAGGTCCGCATCCTCGTCTCTGGAACGAACAAATACACCAGTACAAACGCCAACATATTCAAGCCTGCGAAGATAGAGAATGCAGCTGTCGGCCGAATGCTGTCCTGCAGGAATGGGAAGACTAGTACCAATACGCCAGCACCCAGAAGGTTGACCGCGACGGAAACAGCCATGCCAGCCTCCCTCGATACGAGAGGAAAGACCTCTGCTGCGATCGAGAATGGAGACGTACCGGCTGTCGGGGCATAAAAGGCAACGAAGATGACCGCGAAGATGCTGACCAATGGTATCTGGACGGACGTGTCGGTGATTTTGAAGAGGAAGGCAAAGACTAGGATTGACCATGCCATGTTTGGCAGGCCGAGCAAAAGCATGACGGAACGTCCCAATCGATCCGAGGACCAATAAGCAGGAAGCCCGAACATGTAATTCGCTGCTCCAAAGGCCAGACCTATTATCGCGGATGTACGATCACTGTTTGTTCCGGCGTTGGGCCACACTATCGTACCTAAGAAGGCGATCGTATTGACGCCTGTCAGCGTCTGGGTGATCATGGACACGGAAGCGCACAGCAATGCTCGTCGACACCGCTTATTGGACCATAACTCCCTCAGACGCTTGTAGTAGCCGTTGACACCGATGTTGTACGAGTACGGGTTGTTCTTCTTCGTTCGTTTCACCCCAACCTCGAAGTTTAGGCTGGAGATGTCACTCCACCTCCTATTCAATGTCGCGAGCTCAATGTTGCTGTTTTCGTTTTGCTCGGGCTGCGACCTGACTTGGTGCTGGCTATCGTTCCGGACCGCTGTTGCCCCTAACTTCGTTCCCTCGACATTGGGATCTAGCGCGAATCGACCTGGCGATACGGCTCCGTGTTCAGCACCCCTTTCTAATCGTACGCGATTTGGCGATGGCGAAGATGGCTCTCCAGAAAAGCTCGGCAAGCTAACATCTACGCGATCGGCCAGGGTGCCAAGCTCATTTGTCTCCTCTTTTAAGAGTCGGCTTTCGAAATCCAGCTGAGCATGCGCATACATGAAATCCCGACTTGCTAGTAAACGTGTGGTCTGGACCTGTTCGAAGGCATCGAGTGCTTTGGGGTATTTTCCATGCTTCATCAAATATCGCGGCGATTCCGGCATCAAGTATATCATCACCAGCAATGGCACTGTGGGGATGAGCACAGTGTTCGTAAGAATGCGCCATGCTGATGCCGCTTTCTCCACATAAACAACGACCAGCAAGTTTGCCAGAAACCCGAGAAAGATGCCTATCGGATCAGCGATTACACCATATCAAGGGGAGCGGACGTACCGGCTGCATCAGCAAGCTGCCAGTTCGCCAGAACAGCGCCACGTATATGCTCCGGTGATATTTCAGCCGCATATATTGGAACTACAAGGTGTTAGATTCATCGACGCAAGCATGAACGAGAGCTTGCACTGACCTATCGACGCTTTTGCACCCAGAGCTATTCCGTTGATAGCTCGGCAAGCTGCAAGTGAGCCTACATTGTGCGTAAGTGATGCACCGATTGTCGAGGCTATTGTGATGCCACAAGACAGCATCACACTACCTCGCCTCCCTAAGAAGTTCTCCTGCAGCGGATCTGCAAGGAGTGTACCGAAGAGGCCTGCGGAAAGCAGCGGAATGGCGTTCAGCATCCCAAACGTCCAAAGATCGGATGAAGGACAGTTCATATCCCTGCGATAGCAGAGGCCAAATTCGTCTGGCATGCCATGAGCAGTGCCATTATTGGCGCTTTGCGTCCATCCTTGGATCATACCCGCAAGACTTGCGGTCATGATTGTCGCGCGCAGAAATTTGGACTGCTTCCAAAAGCCTGTACTCTCATCCTTTTCCTTCTCCAACAACAGCTTTTCCGAATCTGTGAGCTCATCCGCGTATTTTCTCATAGTCTCATACTTGTCTCGAGCGAGACGAGCACCAAATCGAAGCAACTCATAGCGGTCTTTGAGACCGGCTAATGAAGCAAATTCCCACACATACTCTTCTAGCTCAGTACGTTGAGTCTTGAGGTCGGGAATCGTGTCATCGAACGTCAGAAACGGATTATCTATACTATTCCACGTCAGTTACATTCTGTAAACATCGACTCATGCGCATACTTTTGTCTTGCGCCTGTTGAGCGCTGTTGATTCGTCGCGAGGGTTTGGATCCCTACTGTGCTTCCGAAAGCTGTTGCTTGCTGAAGGGGTTCAGTCATAGTGGCCAGCGCTTTGAGCAAGAGTATGTCGCTTTGGGGCCGTAATCAATGTGCGACAACGCGCCCCAGCATCACAATATATGTTTGCCTGCCGCATCGGGCTGAGTCCTATAAGGCTGACAGGCCTTTCCAAGGGCGAGCCTGGTCGTGCATACGGCATGTCTTGTCGGGGTCCTCCACCGCCATATTACCTACAAATGCTCTTAGACGGGTGGCTGAGCAATAAGTCCACGTTCTGATGATCGCCCTCTTCTCAGTGGATTGGTTGCCTCGCCAATGCTTTTCGCATGCATCGCTGCCCTTTTTCAGGCGACATGGGTCTTGGGAGACTTCGGCCAATGAACGCATACATCGCTAAGTGCCTTCAGACGCCACCAAGCCGCAATTGGCATTAGGGTCAGCCCTTGCATCACCTTGCAACCTTGGATTTATTGGTGACACTTAGTTCTCTCCTCAGCCCTCTGCCGAGCAGGATGCTTTGAAATCGCCTAGCTAGGACGCGCCACCGCGGGGACGTCTGTTCTGCCTTTCGGGACCCCGTTCGAGACGATGAACCAGTTTACGTGAAATCACAGGTATTCGGAATGAGCTTCCGAATGACGAGTTCCTCGGCGTATGAGCTGTCACCACAGCCCGCTCGGCTAGTCGATATGTGGTGTGGTGAGAAAGGGACGGCACATAAGCGGCTGCCTACTTGATCTGTAATAGTGTGGCCGACGAGCTTTCCCCGCCAGCCGCTTTCCCCAGGTACGTGTGGAGTTGCCCCAGCCCGTTGACGCATCGGACGAATGCCAACCCTTGCATGGAGCATTTGGCTGTTTATACTTGACACTTACGTCAACTCACTTCACACGTGTGCCTCTCACATTACCCGTCCTCATTCTCGGTCATGAACAGGCTGCACGCGTTCTGCTAAGCCCCTTCTTGATCTTTGAGCCGCCTGGCAAGAGGCCTTCTTCAAATGAAATCGATGCCGCATCCGTAACGATCGTTGCGCTTTCGCCTGCACTTATCAGACGATATCCTTGTGTAACACCACAACCTGGCTCCTGACTTCCTCCAACGATCCACTTTAAAGCGGGCCTGGCCACCACACACGGCACCCAAGTAACCATGGCCGAGCCGGTCTCCAGCATAATTACCATCGCAACGGTTGGGCTGGCCCTCGTCCGAGCATGCAAGAACTATATCGAAGCGGTGCGGGAAATCGACGACTTGGTCGACCGACTCCTCGAAAGAATAACAGAGTTGCATGGAGTTGTACGCCTACTCAACTCGAAGTACCATCAAGCTGAGCCCGATGGCAATAGCGAGCCGTCAATCTTGGTGCGTGAGAAGATCGCGCTATGTCGCGATCGTCTTAGAGAGATCAAACGCAAGATAGCGGATTTGGGACTTCAAAGCAAAAGTGCGGAGACCTTTCTCGACAAGGCCTCTGTGAAACGAAGAATGGACGCAGTAGCCAAGGATATCGAATTCGCGGTAGATGACATTCGACGATACCTCGGAGATATCGTCCTTGTCACCGGAGCCTGCTCATATCTGTTCGTACGGTTCTTCCTCAGACTAATACATCTCTAACGCCATGCTAGTGAAGTCAGCTCCTATATTCGCCGCGTTTCCGAGAGCTCAGTACCAGTAAGTATACGTGGAATGTATAGCAGAAGAGATGGTGCTGACGCTTAGACAGCAACCCATAGCGTATGACAGCAAAGAGTATCGGCCAGCTCAAGATGACCTCGTCTCGCTTGATCGATGGTTCTCAAATACGGACACTATCTCAGATCCAGCACACCTCCGCAGAGCGTCCAATCCGACATCACCACCGCGTTTCTCTGTCTCCTGGTCCTCTTCGAGCGCTCTTCTTACACAATCCGACGACGACGAAAGCATTCTTTCTAAACAAACCTTCGGCATCTCAAAGCCAGAGGAAGACTGGAAAGTCTTCCACCGCAAAGTGGTGCAGTGCAAAGATGACCCCGCCCTCGTCGCAGAAATTCATTCGATGTTGGAACAGCACCCAGAGCCTGCCACCCTCGTAAACATTCTGGGGGACCATCAACGCGCTCCCCTTCACCTCGCAGCGCAGCGTGGCTATGTCAATCTAGCTCGCATTCTCCTCGTATTCGGCGCCGATATTAACGCCAAAGACACCGAGCCTGCTTCCGTGTTAGATCATGCCGTCGCACACAATCAAGTAGACTTCATCACAATCATATTGGATATGGGTGCCGACGAGTCAGCAATACTGGAACGGAACAGGAATCAATTGGAGCATAAAAAGGCTGTCATTGCGCTTAGAAAGGCGCGGCAGCAAAATCCAACCACGGAGAAGGCCCGAAAATTTAGCTGGAGTCTTGCAAGAATACGCTCAAGCTGAGCCATTCGTCTCGCGGAATCGTCATCCGGACCCCAATCTGACGGTGGCAACTGTGTGGCGAAGCTGCAGCCCTAGCGGCGAACACGACAGGGCTGCATACTGTAGCCTACTGCATGGAGCGGAGGTGGGGTTACTCACCGGTCACTAGCCCACCACCGGACGGTCTTACACAGCATTTACGACCCTGCGCCCCCACCGCGCCGTGCCTTCGGAACGTCTTCTCGTTCTCGGACATGCTCGCGTTACTAGCCGATCGGGCCGTGCCACCTGCCACGGAACACCACAGCTGCGGCCTTATCGGGTCATCCTCGTTGCATGTTTAGGCTGTCTGCACGAACTATGTCGTACCCACGCCATGTTGGTCAATACGACCTCCCCCTGCCGGGATTTTCGGTCTTGGGTGCTGAAACCTAGGTCCTACGTTAGAGTCATCTCTTCCAATCAGGTCGAGGTACACGCAAAGATTACAAGACCAAGTGATTGCTCCCAAGCACTCTCTCTCTAGCCAGCGAGCATATATCCAGTCTACACGACTTCATTGGATGCTCGACTTCTTGCAAAGACTCGTAGCTACACACGTCTCTTTTCCTTCAACGTCCATACCTCATGATCTATGAAAGAAACACACCTCTTGTCGCTTCTCGGCAGCTGGACGACGTTTTGCACGGGGTTGGGGCTCAGAAACTGCAAAACCCAGAAAATATCCCAGGCCTTTGGCTCAGGGCCGCATCTCAAACTCGATCTCACGATGTGCGGCCTCTCTCATCCAAGGTGGCTACATCGTGAGTTCATGTCAATTCCTAAGGCAACCGGCTCACGTGGTCAGCGACAGAGTGAATACTCTATTTGTCTGCCATCGCCTGTTGACGCACATGAACACTCCAGCAAGAACCAGATTTATCCACTTTACCAACAATCACTGCCAATCCACCTTCGCCCATTCGCACCTACCCAAGCCTCAACCCCTACACCAGACGACTACACTCCAGAGCCATGAAGTCCAACTTCACTATAGCCTGCGGGGCTGATAGCTATACTGTCGATCTAGACATCATTACTCCCTACTCTGAATACTTTCGGCGCGCAATAGAATTTGGGAAGGAGGCTTCCGAAGGCACCATAACGCTTCATGACGACGAACCTGCTATGGTCAGTCTCATGATTGAGTTTCTTCATGAGGGCGACTACGATGCCACTTCCTGGAAGATCGATACGCGCACAAAGGATCTGACATGGATCAGAAGTTATGGCAGCAGCCCGTATGCCAGTCGCGAGGGGAACGATCAACACGACCCCCACAATAATGATGGCAGTTCTCGCTTGCCCCACAGAGAAGCATCATCAGCCATCGGCGCTATATCTTCATCTTCCTCGCGGAAACGGAAGCCTCAAACATCACCAGACCTACAACCAGATCAGATCGTCCAGAAACGACAGCGGGTACTGAATGTCATGCCAAAGGGCTCAGGCCGAGCGCTCTATCACACCCCAACACCCCGCCACATGTTGCTACACCTCCAACTCTGGGAAGTCGCAGACAAGTACTTAGTACCCGACCTACAGGCGCTATGTACGAAGAGGTTCCAGGAAGCAGCGCAATACTACCATCCCAATCCCGAGATGATTGACGCCATCTTGTGGGTTTACGAAGACCTTCCTGAGCATGCGGTCGATCTGCGGGAGGCGGTGTTTATGGTCGTCGACGAGCATCCAGAGCTGCTCGATGATGATGCGGTTAGGGAGTCTCCATCTTGTCAAGGTCTACTTCGGTTTATGTCTTCACGGGAACTTGGAAGGTCGCAGCAGGTCATGACTCCTCAACGCGGGATTTGGCCTTATGTTTCTTAGGATGGTGGAGTCATTGTTGTCATACCATATACCATTCTCAGGATGTTGTAAACTTTTATAGGACATGTTTTCTACACGCCCGTAATGACAATCTTTCACACATTACGCACGAGATTAGACGTAATTGAAGCTGCCTACATTGTATCCGAACACGGTCTTACTCCTTCGCACTCCAGTCGACTAGCGCATCTTGGCCAAGTTTGTCTTTGATGATCCGCTCGCTCAGATCCCAGAGCGCAGCACCAAGGTTCTCATCGCTGGCTTGAGACGTTTCTTTGCCTGGTTGGCCCTGCAGTCACATATTAGTCATCGAGTTCAATAGAACTGTGAAGTGCAACTTACGGGGTCGTTGAAGTAGAACCCATTCATATCTTTCTCCTCAATCTCATCCGCCGTGCAGCACCAAAGCGCACTGTACGACCCCTGTTCCACGTCTCGTCCAGCAAAGAGCATAGCATTTGACAACAACTTGCCGGTAATACCAGGATATGCGTCCTTCCACTGCTGCTGCATAGCTGTGTTGACTGCACCTGGATGTACCGAGAGAGCGTATACGTTATCACCATTAGGTTTGATGACGCGGTCACGCAGACCGTATTTGGCGAAAAGGATCATGGCCAACTTTGTGCGTCCATACAGTCGTGTGGGGTCCATCGAGCTATCGTTGATCTCGTCCATGCTAGCGAAGTGAACATCCGACGGTGCAGTACGATGCATCTCACTCGACTCAAAGACGACCCTCGGCGCAGGCTTCGTGCCCATCTTACCCGTCTTGCGAAGTACCGGCCAGAGTTGGTTGCACACGTAAAAGTGACCGAGGAAGTTCACTCCAAAATGACGGTCGATACCGTCCGCGTCCTCCCCGTAAAAGTTCGTGTTGATACCTGCGGAAAGAACGAGGAAGTCGAGACGGTCGAGCGAGTTGCGCAGTTCGGAGAAGACTTCTTTGACTTCCTTGAGGCTGCCCATGTCGCAGTGTTTCCATTCGACCTGCGCGTCGGCCTTCTCTTTCTTGATGCTTGAGATGGCGTCGGCACCCTGCTCTTCTTTGCGGTTCACCATGATGACTTTTACGCCTGCGAGGGCGAGCGCGCGGCTGACTTCATATCTTTGAGTGTATTAGCGAAGAGTTGGAAGGAGGGAGGAGAGGCTGGCCGTACCCGATTCCGAGTGCACCGCCGGTGACTACTGCGACGCGACCGTCGAGATTTTCTGGGTGGACCTCTTTAGGGCCAATGACTTTGTGGAGGACGGACTGCATGTCGGATAACTAGTAAATTTGATCAGGTTAATGTAAAGTAGGGTAGTAGAGAAATAAAGATGTTCTCGCTCGATGCAGATAAAATCACATTGTTTTTAGTATACACGCTTGTCTATTACCATAAGTGACGTCTTGAGGAATTGAGAGGTTGCCCAGCATATGCAGCTGTCACATTCACATGTCATGACGTCACAGTGGGATCACCATAATTGGTGAGCAACACAGCTTCAGCAATGTCTGGTGATGCGAATGATGCTTCAATTGTCTATGCTACATTCATGCCATATCAGAAAGGAATTGAGAAGCTGCAATAGGTCTCTAGAGCTGATTTCACTCTGTAGCTCACATTGGTACCTGGGTATAGACTAGGAACTTTGGACATCTTGATATCATTGTGTACCTCTGGTTCACTCGTCTATCTGTCTACTCGTCGGAAACTACAGACAGAAGATGTGTCAGCACGCTGGTCACTCACCGCGTCAGTTTCAGCACGGACTTTCGTTTGTTGACAAGTTCGCTCCTGCCACTTTATCTCACCTACGTTAGTTCTCCCACCCTCCACTGTGTTCTCAGCCCAAGACGCGCGGTTACATCGACAAGATGGCATCAATTAGTGCCGAAGTATCTGGTGCGGTATCAGAGATGTAAGTGACAGAGTCTGGCTACAGCAAAAAGACCATCTTGATCGCTAACACGCTCAGTACTACCCGCAACTCGACCGAATCCCCGCTTCTTCGTCTCCCGGGCGAGCTTCGCAACAAGATACTCGGCTATGTGGTTGGAGGACACGTAGTCGTTCTGTTCGACAGCCCTAGACCAAGGCCAGCTGGAGCACCCTCCGGGCTCCCACTACAGTTTCGTCTCACTGCCTGCAGCCAGACCAACTTCCACGACAGTTATGGTATGAAGCGCGTCTCACAGAGCCTGACCGTCACACTCGTCTGTCGTCAACTTTACTTCGAAAGCGCGCCCCTCCTGTTTGAGATCAACTCCTTCAATTTCAGATCGGTTCAAGCTTTTGAGCTCTTCACCGAGATACTCACTTCTCGTCAGTGTAGCGCCATCAAAACCATCTCCATCAGCTACAATTACGTGTCCACGACGCGTCTCTTCTCCACTTCCGGAGAGCTTCCTCAAATACACCCGCGGTTGTTATTACCTGGTCTCAGCAAAGTATATCTGCCGCCAGATGCGATAGAACATCTCCAGTACGGCGCTACTACTCGCGACAAGCTCGTTGAGGCTATGCGTGTACTGAATCTTGGTGGCCATGAGGGGAAGGGTGTGTGGATTGGTTGCTTCGATGTGTTCGACAAGACTGCCGTACTGAAAGACGCTCCTGGCTTTCTGATCACGTCTGACACTGGCTGAGAAGCAGATACTGTCTCTTGTCCCGAATCGGGCAACAGAAAGCAAACACCTTGAGCGATGATATGAAGGTTGATATTCACATGCATGGTGGCAGTTCTTTGTGGCTTAGACGCTGCCTCATCGTGAGAGCTCAGTGTCTGTACCATAGCTAATAAAAGACTCACATCAATCACCTTCTCCACATCCAATACACCAATGCAGAACACTAACTGTAAACTATTCATTTTCTAGCTCAGCCACCATAAGGGGAGAGAGCAGGTACTTTCCTCCATCAACCCTAACTTCACCGTATAACCATACCCCAACGACCAATTTTAGTAGTATACAAAGACACACCCCGCTAACCAGGAACCGAAAGAACAAGGTTCCGAAAAGGAGAACAAAACGCTGCAAGTACGATGGAAGCAATATAGTACAGGTCTCCCTGCCTTAGAACGCCTATGCTGATATGTGTGTGTGTGTGCTTCTCTTCAAATGCTCCTACCTGGATGTCGAATATCCAGATTCCTTGCTCTTCTTG